AAATAAAATACATGAAAAAAGTCGCATGAGTGGACCACAAACTGTGTGCTTACTACGAATCAACACAAGTGTACAGGACAGGTGTGGTAGCTATGCACATGTGACCCACATCTGTCCTCAGGGTCACACTTAGGTGCGCCTCGATACCTGGCATGTATACTAACCTGATGCCTGGGTTTTAAGGTGGTTGTTTCTTATTCGTGTGTGTGTGTGTGTGTGTTTACATCGAGGATGTTGTGGTCAACTCCGTACCTAGAAAACGCTTGCATTCGCGCACACAACTCACACACACAGCTCTCTCTCTCTCTAACACACACACACCTCTCTCTCTAACACACACACCTCTCTCTCTCGCTCTCTCTAACACACACACCTCTCTCTCTCTCTCTCTCTAACACACACACACACCCCTTTCTCTCTCTTACACACAGATATCTCCACATAACACACCTCTCGCCCCTCACACCTACAACACACACACACTTAAGCGCCTCTGTATAACTGATTAAGTCTACCTGTTGATCCCATAACACACCAAAGATTATAAGTTGTGGCAACACCCGCGGCAAATTCCCTTAACAGCCTCTGGTGGTGGTGGCCAGGCCCTTCCCAGGACACTGTGGCCACCCTGGACAGTGTGGGTCTTCCTCGCCCTCTTTCAGGCCACTCACCTGTACTGGCCAATCAATAAATCTCTCCGAGCTCTGGGGTGAACTTGGTCAACATACAGTACTCGTATCATCCCAAGTTCTACCAAAGGTAATTTTGATCAATATTATCGAATGTATTCATAGAAGCCACGAAACTACAGTATGTCTCGGGTCTTGCTATGCATCTCTGAAAGACAGACGGCGGCTGTCACTCACACAAGGAAAACACAACAAACTTTGCCAGGTTTTCACTGACTAGAGTTACAAAGCATAAAGACATCTCCCCCCAGCACTACTTCTATGCCTTATAATTACCCAGCACTAGTTAATTTGACGTTCTCATTTAGATTCAGATTTACCCCACCCAGCGAGGGAGCTAGTTTATTGGGCACCCCCTTACATCCAGTGAGGTTTCCTCATCTGACGCCATCATCACTGTTTAAGTGACCTCTGACTCTCCCTACCTCCCACGTCTCACAGGGTGGGTGTGGCGTTGGTTGCCTAGCGAGAGGTGTCATAATCCCCGTGCACCTTGCCCACCCATGTCTTCAAGTACACTATTCTGGGAAACTGCTCAGAGATGGTGAAAAATCCAGATAAGAGAGAGAGAGAGAGAGAGAGAGAGAGAGAGAGAGAGAGAGAGAGGATGTAACTAAAAACAAGTAGAATGATGGGAATGAAAAAAGGAATCTTGATTTAGTGCAATTTCCTCAAATAATATAATCATTCACTGACGTACATATTTTCACAAACACTCACATACATCACACACACACATGAACATACGACCGGAAATGGTCCGCCTCGGTCGCCGACACACCGAACTACACCGCGTCGGATCCTGCAATTTGTAATGTGGGTGCGGTCAAGGCGTGTACAGCTCCAGGTAACTCAGACATGAAGCGTCTGGGTCCGAGAAGAACGTATGATGGATGAAGAAACCTTGAAATGACTAACCTCACCTGAGTTGATGAGCCTTTTGAGACAATCTATATGTATACCATTTTGATGTTAGTAAAATAAACGTATCTTTAACTTGTGCGCGCAAAATTTTATGATTCAACACTGTTTAATGATCCTCAAAATTATTATCATTTTGAAATATGCACATGTAATTGCACTGCCAATTCTGAACTGATGGAAACAAATAAGATGAATTGAAATACTTTATCTACAGACTCCCGGGGCCGAGGAACGTCTGAGATGAGGAATCTTTGGTACCAGTTAACACACACACCAGGGAACCATCACGCCGGTAAACAGTGAGGTTGGGGAACAATTGTACCATGATCCATTTAGGACGAGGAACGTGTTAATAGTGATTTAAGCTCGAGTAACTAAACTTAGACCATGGAACATTTAGGACATGGATCATTCACTGAAAGAACAAATACACCTAAATAATTGTCTCGAAGTGTTGCACTTAATCATAAGTATAATGAAGTGCGACCAACAGCTGGGATGGTGTCGAGGTATGATGACAAAAATCGGGCTCAAGAATGTAATTTAAGTGATTACATGTAATGTCAACTTGGAAGACACTACAGTCATGGTAGGGAGAGCTATAGCACGAGGGGCGTGTCTGTGTAGGAAGAGTAATGAAAAAGAGAACCAAGTGACAGAAGAGTTGTAAACGGAACAGAGAACAAAATAGGAGGAGGGAGATGGAGAACGAATACCCGAAAATTAAGGAAAATTATACAATTCAGGAGAAGTGCAAATCTGCCACGGCAGACACTAACGTTACACAGTGAACGCTGACCCCTGCGTTAACAACAGGACTCACGAGGACACACACATCATAGTCTGCACCCCACCCAGAGCCCAAACTTCAGGCCCTGGCACTCACTAAACAACTGCTTCACTCTTTACCAACTCATGGACAATAAATCCACTATAGTATTGGGACCCTACAGGACTCCCTCCGTTAGTGTTAACCCCAGGACACACATCATTCTGGACGCCATCCCCTCGGCAGTATGCGTGCGTTAACTCCAGTAAACAAGACACTCACATCATACTCTGGACGCGGGAGCCCACGCCCTCGTCAGTAGAGACTTGTTCCTGGGGGGCGCTGTCGACGATGACGTTGGCCCGCTGGTGCTTCTGGTCCAGCATGCCACGGTACATGTTGTACACCAGCTTGCGTACCTGGGGATCCTTGGGGTCCACCTTAGGCCCGTTGGCCGACCCGTTAGTGGCGATTCGAATGTTCCTGTTGGCAGTGCCGTTGACGGCGGCTGGTCGCCCGTTTATGTTAGCCATTGTCGCGGATGGACTTACTGGGGAAATTTGTGCTTTATGTCTCAAGTTAAACTTAATCCACCACTCGCAAATTATTAAAACCGCTATTCAGTTAATTACAACTATTCTTAAATAACCTGTAAAAACTGGGACGGTCAAAAAAAGTTAACACTAAATACTTGTGTAAGAGCCTCGGTCTATACTGGCCACGTAGTGTTCATAAATGAAGTCACTTGAGAGCCTGACTAGAGTTTACACGCTCACTGAAACACTGGGAGTGCGTCGAGCGTGCACAAGTACACACAACGTCGCCGTGCACACGACTGATAGTGTGTATGTGTGTGTGAGTGGGGAGCAACCCTGAGGCCTCACCTCCCGTCAGCTGGCGCCACGCTTACACTTACACTTGTTTGACCGTTTTAGTCGCTGTGTTAAGCTGATATATGATAATCATCAGTGTTTTAAATAACCAGAGATGTACTTGTATCATTATGTGCACGTAATAATGTATAATGTTGCAGGAAAATTCAAATGGTCATGAAGGCTCGACTGTTGAGGCTCAGGAGAAAAATGACAAACTGGTAACGCAGAGACTTCGATGCCAAACAACGCTTGGCACTGCAATGTGCTGCAACAACTTCCCCTACCTTGGCTAGCAGAAACACCAACATATAATGGATGATACACAATTTACACTGTATAAGTGATTATTTTATCGTATAGATAAATAAAGAAAACAAATTAATATTTTAACTCCCACTAGTATCGATCGCCGCAGAATATTATCACTTTTCAGCACTACATAACAGCCCAATAAATGAAGCTATTCATACCAACTGAAAATTTCTTTCATATATATTGCAATAATAAAAACAGTATCATATAAACTCATAAAAACATAAACTAGCATATATCCCTAAATATGATTATCAAAGTTTATACAATACGGTGACGTAATCGCCACGATCAAAACGCTGAGCATCACCAACTTAATAAAAACAATGACGGCGGATTTACACTTATACGCTACACTACATAATATAACCCAGACATGTACTGTCATAATGAGGGGACTGGCCCTGAGGGGGAGGGGGGGGGATAAGAGAGAAAGTTTTAGTATAGAGCTGGTAGGTATCTCTTTGGAGAGTGACTCACCAAACGTGGGCAGCTTCCCACCAACATGACGTCACCACCTGCCCAGGGTAAGTTCAACACCCACGCGGCTACTTCAGTGCAAACCCCCCTGCTATACCCTCACCCACCTTGCACGCTCTAACCACTTTCTCTTTGTCTCGCTGTATTTCAATGTTTCGAGCTGTTAAAGTTACGATGTCGGAACGTTAGCGTCTACTGTAGGCGGCTAGGTTAGGTGTACTGCAAGTCGTTAATGATCTGATATCTTAACGACTCTTCCTTCTGTCTTTGTGTGTGTGTGAGTGTGTGTGTGTGTCACAGAGCCAGGCACTAACAGAGGGAAGCAATAACAGAGCCAGGCACATACAAAACCACAAACACACTAGTGAAGGGTAATCACGGGTCAGCCTCATGAATAATGTAACTAACGTCATCTCTGTCACACCTCCCCCCATCACCCAATGTCTGTTACCAAGGCTTACAGACCTAAAACAACTACATAAATTTAAATAACCTCACAATACTTCCTAATATCAAGAGAAAAAATATTCAATACATCTATAGTTTAAACACTAATAGTAACTCAGACTTTGTATCAACTATCTAGATTATCAATAACCAAACGTCAACTAGAACTATCAACTGGAAACTGGTCCTGTATTGGCCGTTTTGAAGGTCTAATCCTTTTAATATTTCAATAGATAACATGTCTCTATGATATGTCTGCAGGGATATCTAGGATGCTGTGGTGGGCGGGAACAATAGGACAGGAGGCGCCAGTGACAAACATCCTCGTCACCACCATGAGACAGACTGAGTGACGGTGTTAAATTGTTGACGGCAGCCCAGTGTTGCCAGTATTGACAACTCTCAAGATAAGTTCGGCCAAATTCCCAATATTTCCCAAGGGTTATTATATACTATATTGAATTAACATGATGGTTTAATACAAGGAAACGCAATCACTTAAAACTAAAAGACAAGAATGACATATTTACTGCACGTTTCTTCAAGAGTCAAGTGCATTACATTGTCACTGTTAGCAAATATATTCTTCCTAATTTCTACAGGATATGCAGTTTCATACCAGGGCATCCGGTATTCTGCCACACCCCCAGTAAGCAAGAGTTCACTGCCTTTGTCACCTTCTCTTTTAAGTATGGTTCTTCTAATTAAAGTTGTTTATATGTTTTGCGGATTGCTTGTGGCCCAAGAGCGAAGACTTGTTAGCTTGTATATTTGTTGATAGTTAATCATTGTCTACGGTTACAATGACCATCAACTAGGTATGACGCCCTGGGTCACACTCTAACTACGGTCTGGGGAGTTACTTGATGACCTGTTGATATTGACCAACTAACCCCATCGAAATGTGTCCATCTCCCAGTTGTGTGGTTAAGCGACCTTTGCTCACACCTTAAAGTGGCAATAACAAATCGCGAAATATATAGTGATCATAAAATACAAAGATGGAGCTGAAAAAAAAATCCCAAGAATAGTTAGATTTTGAAATACAAATCCCTAGATCCCATGGTTAAGGTTAAAATCACAAGATCTGGGGAAAAACAAGGAGTGGCATTACTGTGAGTGAGTGTGTTAAATCGTTGACACCATGACCGGTGGGGAAGGCAGGTGACGTCACGCACACCTCCACCATGGGGGGTGTGGTGAAGCTGACCTCAGGAACTAGTGAATGAAGGGAATGAGACCATACGTTACATAAGTTACGACTGATGAAGTTGATAACTCTGAAATAACAGACAATAATACAGGTTATGGTCCGCTGAACAAGTTCGACAAGGCAGATGGTAGTGTAATTGCTCATAGGAGCGATTTTGGTTTGTGCAGGACAATAAGACCCTTGTCGTTGACGCGATGAGTATAATTCGGTCAAAACCTGTTGAATACAATTTGCATATAACAACTGCTGGTACATCAGGACACAGTTTGAATTATATGATCAATATACAGTACATAATTACACTTATTAAAGTTATTTAGAGTTCTCAGAGGATTCAACAGTTCACAATCACACTCACGTTTTGGGGTCTAGGGTTAGACCAACGAGAACAAATATATTGTCCTGCATCAAGATGTTGGCTGACGAGAATCAAGATGTTGCCTTTACAGTAAAAGGCGATAGACTGTCCCTCAGACAGTCACACAGCTGCTACCAGCTCCATCTTGCTTAGTAAGCTATTCTGAGTTGTAAACAGTTTCTTCACTTAACATGTGGCCGGCGCGCGCGATAACAGGTAGAATTAAACTTTGAGAAGCGTATCTTTACTATGTGTTTATCAATTACTGATGAAGCACCAACACACAATGATCACAATATTTTTGGTATGACTGGTGAGGTGAATTCCGGTTTGACTACAGAATACTTCTTCTCTATATTGTGACGCTCACAGAGGTCCAAATAAGTTGTATTATTATGTCAGGTGATGTACTGTACACACTTATTGTGCCAAGTTTCAGACTTTCTTCACGGGCGAACGATTATTGACATCCTCGGCCTGTAAGCAGTTAGCTAAAATACTCACTATAGTCCACACACACCAACAGGCTTATAAAGAAACGCCATTTTTATTTACACTACACATGTTAGTTAAGCTTTTTAATTTTAAGACAAAATGGTTTAGCACTCAGTGTCAACAGTGTCCTTCTTCAGACTGGTTGTAAGTCTTTCCAAACCCAAGATGACACATCCCAAGTACCCAGGTGGTACAGTGCCAGAGTTACTGAGGCACATCCCTCCCTCCCTCCCTCCCTCTTTGCCTCGGCCACACAAAGAAATTAAGCGTAGTTTTAGTTACCCGATGAACCTTAGTTTAGGAAGCCGACCCTAAAATATTCATCCTTCTAAAAACTTGAAAGATTGTTTCTTGTGCCATTTCACAATAGTGCAGGATACACCAAAGTGAGTAGTGTATAGTTTATAAAAGTAATATTCTTGGTATATTAGACCGACAGGTAGTAGATCTACCAGGCTGTCAGATCATAGGGACATCACTTACCTGTAATAGCTCTGGTAGTAGGCCTCGTAGTAGGCTGCATAGTACTCGCTCAAGAGGCGGTTGTAGTCAATGGCCTCAACGTCTGCAGAGTCGTCCAGGTAGAACTCACCCTCACCTGCGGCGTAGGTGTACCTCCGAGGATCCTCCGAGGGCCTGTTGAGGAGGACACCGTCAGGGGCACTGGCCTAACAACGGCGACCTCACAAATTTAATAATAAGGCAGGAACGACATCAGTTACAAAAACATTAGGTTAAGCAGAAGAGGAAAGGGAGTCTTCCAGGGATGGATTTTCAGCAAATGAATGAATGTCAGCCAAAGTGAAAGTCAGCATAAAACTATCTCAGCCAGAAGGACGTCAGTCAGGAGAAGGACACTAGTCAATGAGAATAAAGTTTTCAACCACGGGGCAGACTGACAACAAGAACCTGAGATGAGGACATCAAGGAGAGTAAGGAACCCAACAGTGAGATAATCAACACCCGTGTCCATGGAGCAACTCTCTATAGTCAGACTGACTATAGAGTACGTAGTGCATAATATATATATATATATATATATATATATATATATATATATATATATATATATATATATATATATATATATATATATATATAAAATAATAATAATAATATATGTGTGTGTGTGTGTGTGTGTGTTCATCCCTTTAATCCTTTTCCAGCTATTAGGTATGGCGGGTAGAATAAACAGCAAATACATATTTTCCCGCCATTTCTTAGATTATTTTCATTCATTCTCACTGATGTAACAGATGAGGAGCTCCAGGCGAGAACACGATAAGCGACGAAGCGGCTTGACATGAGTGTATTATGTCATAATACTAATCTAAAAATTGCTAACCTTTAACTTCACTTTGTTTTTTATTTGTTTTTACCTTTGTTGCTTACCTTTCTTGCCTGGAGCAGCTCAGATGTGTTCCGTTATGTTACTTCACTTCCACAACAAGGCCCGCAGAAATAATACCTGGTTTACCACCCACCGCTTCACACAATCCATCAACACCAAGATGATTTTTTTGGCCAGCAGAATCATTGCCAATACTAAGCTGGTTCAAAAATGATAGTGTAAGGCCTGATATCTTTTAACCCTGGAGGCTCTTACACGAGGCAATGGAATTTAAGTCTAGTACTCAAGAGGTTAAGTCATCGTACTCAAGGAAGTTGTCATCATACTCAAGTGCTTAAGTCATCATACTCAAGTGGTTAAGTCATCATACTCAAGGTAGTTGTCATCATACTCAGGTAGTTAAGTCACTGTCCTCAAAGTAGTTGTCACCGTACTCATGGTAGTTAAGTCATCATACTCAAGGAATTAATTCATCCTACTCAAGGTAGATATGTCATCGTACTCAGCAGGTTAAGTCATTTACTCAAGGTAGTTAAGTCATCGTACTCAACGGGTTAAAGTCATTGTACTCAAGGTAGTTAAGTCATCGTACTCAACGGGTTAAAGTCATTGTACTCAAGGTAGTTAGGTCATCGTACTAAAGATAGTTAAGTCATCGTACTCAAGGGGTTAAGTCATCGTACTCAAGGGGTTAAGTCATCGTACTCAAGGGGTTAATTCATTGTACTCAATGAATAATATTCAAAAGTTGGGGAAACTGTCAAACACTTATTAAGGTGTAAAGCATTACTGTGTGGACCCCCATGGCCAGGTGAAGGTAATCTATTAATCATGGCCAGGTGAAGGTAATCTATTAATCATGGCCAGGTGAAGGTAATCTATTAATCATGGCCAGGTGAAGGTAATCTATTAATCATGGCCAGGTGAAGGTAATCTATTAATCATGGCAAGGTGAAGGTAATCTATTAATCATGGCCAGGTGAAGGTAATCTATTAATCATGGCAAGGTGAAGGTAATCTATTAATCATGGCCAGGTGAAGGTAATCTATTAATCATGGCCAGGTGAAGGTAATCTATTAATCATGGCCAGGTGAAGGTAATCTATTCATCAATGTTTGAATAAAATGTTAGAAATTAATGAGAAAGTTGAACACCTTCACTCACTCACTGACACAATGAAGGTGAATGTAATGTCTAACTTGCTTTCCCCCTCGGTACAGTCTGTTGGGTAAAAGTAAACACGTACAACGAACACCAGAAAGAATGCCGGGAGATAAACAAGTGAATAACGACAGAGGAATGGAAAGGAAAATAAGGAAAGGTAATAAGAGATGCTGAACATAAGAGGCTGAATCAGAGAAAACGACAACAGGCGATGCAGGTAACTGAAGGTGGAGGAAAATATATCAACAGACAGAACAGTGACAGAAAATTCACACAAACACGAAAACAAATAAGCGTTTCGTCGTAGTCACAAAGTTATTGGGAATTTACTATAACTAGTTACTATTATATATACTACCACCTTTTATTCCTAGATCTTTGTACAGAAGTTTATTGTAATTTCACTCAATAACATACAACAAAATTTTTAATAGTGCCAGATAAAAGAGTAAAAAAATATCTGATACAAATAAAAGTATCATAACGATAAATGAGTTCAATTAAAAAAACAATGAATCAGATATCGAAGACTAAAATTTAAGCCAAGCTAAAAGTTGCTAAGTTGTAGCCAAACAAAAAAACAACACAATTACTGTATAAACTACCATCAGCACACTAAAGCTTCTATAACGATTTAGGATAAAAAGTGCAGTATGATTTTTACTGAAGCTGTAAAGTCAACCATAAGCTTTGCCATGTTGATAAGGTATTACTGTTAGACTTCAGCAGTTTCAACAAACCGAACCACAGAACCTTGACCATTAATCCCGTTACGTTCGCGACTTCTCACAAAATAACTATAGATTTCCTTTCATATTTACAAACAGTTCATTAATCAAAACAAATTACTGTAGAATAAATCCCAATAAAAATTCTTGCCGAGTAATAATATAAAAATCTGTAGAAATTAATACCAAATAATCGCTTCTGAATAAAGAAATTAGCGATAGAATACAAATATAAGGATTAACCTTTCAAAATGGTAAAGCGTACAAGCGGTCAATAAGTTCCTCCACGCAGTAACGGATGTGAAGTTAAGTAATAATACTCTGTGAGGGAACTAGATGATAGATACAAGAGCTATGAGTGAAGGCGGGCGGGTGGGCGTTGGTGGGGGGTGTTGACATAAGCTACAGCTGAACAAAGTCTTCAACACAGCAAAAAAATAAAAATAAAAAATACTCTCCACACTGACTTACACATCGCCCTCCGAGGCATAGCCAGACACCTCCTCCACAGTGTGAGACCTTAGGAAAGTTGAGAAATACTTAAAATAACTCATGTATCGTCTTAACTAATTTTCTACTGGTTCATTAACTCCAACAACTATAATATTTATGAATTATAGAACTAATTTTTTTTTATCAAGACTATATAGAAAGAAAGAAATTATAGCAGAGACAGGCTGAAAAACCACATCATTTTCTAGAGGGAATTAATCTACAGCGAGAATTATGGTGTACTGTGCATGAATTATAGAGTAAACTGTTTTGACCAAAGTATAGTAAGGATTAGGCTGAACAACACTGAAGACTAACACAAGTATTTTACCTAATTACTTTACCAACTAGTTTATTAACCACTACTATGCCACATCCATAATATACATAAACAATAGGAGTAACCATTTATTTACCAATACTCCAAATGGAAAAAACAAGAAGAGAGCAGATGAAAATATTTAGATTAACTCAAGTTTTTTACCCAAACTTCAGACTGATTCACAATTAACTATACAAAATACATAAGAAAATGAAAGTAAGTATACACACTTTTATATACCAAAGACAACTTTCACATAGACATATTAAGCAATGCAATAAGCGGAAAAAATAATTATCTCAGTTTATAATTTATGTACAAGAAATGTTCACATGGAGCATAGGACCATGCTTAATAAAATAATAATAATAATAATAATATTAATAATAATAACATTAAGAAGAAGAAGAAGAAGAAGAAGAAGAAGAAGAAGAAGAAGAAGAAGAAGAAGAAGAAGAAGAAGAAGAAGAAGAATACTTTGCCTTCCTCGGAATCGAGTAAGACGATCATCCAGTTCTAATACAATGATATGAAATATTAAGGATGTCACCTTCGGTGAGCTCATACAGGATCGATAGGGCATGTGTGGAGGGCTACATCTAGTGCTGGAGGGGCGGCGGAAGCCTCTTTCCGACACTGCCGCTTGTTTGCCTCGGTATGCAGTCGGACTAACTCGAAAGTATTGACACCTTCTCGTGTGGTGCTCCTCCAAGCGTTACGGTGTGGAGTGGTCGTCTCCCAGGTGAAGGGATCGATTTGGCTCTTTTTCAGGTTTATCTTAAGACTATCCTTATACTTTCTCCGTTGTCCGCGAGCGTTACGTTTACCATTCGTTAGGTGACTGTAAAGTAGCTGCTTTGGCAGTCTACTGTCGTCCATGTAGGTAACATGGCCAGTCCAACGTAGCCTCGATGCTCATACAGTTGGCGTCAGATAGAATTCTGGCATTTGTTCTCTTGTCTTCCCACCGAACTCGGAGGATGAAACGCAGACTACGCTGGTGAAAGTTTTCAAGAAATTATACCTATCCATAATCATCCTCCTTCAATACTTTCATGTCAGTCACCGTTGGGTTCAGTGTGTTAAGTAACAACTGTCATGTTATGACATAAGACTTAGGTCCTCCTGGAGTCTTAACACTTATAATGTTTTAATTTAATGAAGTCTCATACTGAGATTTATAATGAGTCTCATACCGAAACATTCAATAAGCCTCATACTAAATACGTGCTAGTTCTTTATACTGAGTGCCTCATACTGAACAGTAATACACAATGAAGACCTCATACTGAACAGTACTACACAATGAAGACCTCATACTGAACAGTACTACACAATGAAGACCTCATACTGAACAGTACTACACAATGAAAACCTCATACTGAACAGTACTACATTCTGAAGATCTCACACTGAACAGTACTACACAGTGAAGACCTCATACTGAACAGTACTACACAATGAAAACCTCATACTGAACAGTACTACACAATGAAGACCTCATACTGAACAGTACTACATACTGAAGACCTCATACTGAACAGTACTACACAATGAAGATCTCATACTGAACAGTACTACATTCTGAAGATCTCACACTGAACAGTACTTCACAATAAAGACATACTGAACAGTACTACATTATGAAGACCTCATACTGAACGTTACACCCCGAACCACATATTAAAAGCCACATACTGTACTTCAAATGCCAGGGTCTTCATCACTTGATGACGAGAGGCGAGACAGCCAGGGTCTTCATCACTTGTTGACGAGAGGCGAGACAGAGTAGCCATAGTGAGCAGGTGGGGGATCGAGCAGGTGGGGGAGCAAGGAGGTAGGTGAGTCAACAGGTGGGTGAGTGAGCAGGTGGGTTAGTAAACGGATGGATGGGTGGGTGAGTAAGCGGGTGGGAGGGTGAGTAAGCGAGTGGGTGGGCGAGTTAGCGGGTGGGTGAGTAAGCGGGTGGGTGAGTACAGTAAGCGGGTTCCCACACCTCAGTGGAGTTTCTCAGGGGTGGGCTGTAAGAAAAACAACCTCCCGTGAAAACTCGTGTTTGTCCACCTGCCTTCTGGGACCACCGCTGTAAAGTGCAGGAAAATGAATCGCCTGTTTTCTAGTATCTTGGGTTTATCACAAGATTGACAAGATCGCTTCAAAGGTCCACTTAGAAACAAACTGTTAATGGGCCATTGTTTACACCGACGACAACACAAAGGATGTGCCATAACCTCTCCGTGCACAAAAAGTTGCCAACCTTTAATATTACTATAAACTCTTCAGTTACTGTCTAGACTCGATTATGCTATAGTATTGCATATGACAATTTATATAATTCATAACATAGAGAACTTTTCTATACATTTTCCACATAATTAAATAATAAAATTTAGATTTACTTTTGCAGCGCTAAACATCAATGGCTGTACATACAGTACATCATCTTTTTAGTGGCTTCTCCGTCAACATGAGGGTCGCTTGATCAACGCCATTTGTTTGTATGATAACTACAACAATAACAGCATAAAAAATCACTAAACTTACATTTAATTTCATCTTGATATACCCTTACCAGAAAACTGAGGCTGAAATTTCACTAGGAAAACTAATTAGTTTTACTTTTATAAAGACTAAAATTCAGATCGATATACTGTAGTGTGTATTCATCCTCCGGGAAGACCTGAAGGCCGTCTTTACCTCGATAAGGCTTAGTAGCTCACATGAGGGTTACTATAGTCTGACCCTCAGTGAACAGTGCATGGTCATAGTACAGTCGGGTTCAATGGATAAGTTAATAGTATTTTTTTCGCCTTTGACTGAACCTATAAGCTGGGAGTTTGCCGTGTATGAGTTATAAGTCCACGTCATAAACCACAACCTCCCTGCTGAGAATCTCCCTGAACCGCCCCTACCCCACCTAGAGCAAAATGAGGACCCTCCCCTAACCCAGCTTAAGAATCTCCCTGACCTGCCCCTACCCCACCTAGAGCAAAATGAGGACCCTCCCCTAACCCAGCTTAAGAATCTCCCAGACCCTCCCCTACTCAATGGTAGGTGCCTCCCTGGCCACTATCGCAGACGAACACTCCATGACGTACCGAGGGTTGTTGGAGCGAGTGAGTGTCTCTTCACTGGTGGCGTGGCGGAGTCTGGTCTTGGCCTTGGTAGCTGGCAGTGGCGGCTTGGACGATACCTGGGGAGAAGAGGCGTCATCACTACTAAATATACTTCAGTCGAGGGACACAAAACACAATACTGTACACCCTGGCCGTAACATCCTACACCTTGGTACAATCACGACACATCCTTCACCTTGGTAGAGTCACAACACATCCTACACTTTGGTACAGTCACGACACATCCTACACCTTGGTACAATCACAACACATCCTACACTTTGGTACAGTCACGACACATCCTTCACCTTGGTACAGTCACGACACATCCTTCACCTTGGTACAGTCACGACACATCCTACACCTTGGTACAATCACAACACATCCTACACTTTGGTACAGTCACGACACATCCTACACCTTGGTACAATCACAACACATCCTACACTTTGGTACAGTCACGACACATCCTTCACCTTGGTACAGTCACGACACATCCTACACCTTGGTACAGTCACTATAACACTCTACACCTCCGCCAGGGTTCTTAATACACCACACTTCACAAATGAGTCATAGCACTGGAGGTATACGAGGATATACAGTATATCAGTAACACCGAAATACTTCTTTTCTGAAAACGTTGATAAAGAAAATGAGTTAATCTGTACAGTACTTTACTGACAATTTCTATATTGGATATGAACATCAGAAACCAAATTTCTCTCTTTTAGAGTAAGTCAATATACTGTATGTAAAGAACAAGAGCAACTGACCTGCTGAAGGTCTCCCAAGCTGCTGGAGAGGGAGTGAGGTACTGTCCAACTGGCACCTTTTTCGATGGAGATCTCCGTCAGAGCCTCCACTCCCGCCCCTGCCCCCGCCTCTGCTCCCGCCACAGCTGCTGCCGCAGCCGCCGATGCACCACCACTCAGATTACCCGTCGACTTGGACAGCTTACCGTGAGGTTTTTCGATGGGACGGAAACCAAACTCCATGGGGTCAGGGCTGAACTTAGTGACCGGCAGAGTCTTGGAGCTCCTCAGGTCCCCGGTGCTGGCGGAGTGAGCCCTCCGTGATTGCGACTGTTGCAGCTTCTGCTTGACCGCCTGCTGTTGCTGCTGCCGTAGTAAAGCTGCCTGCTGCATCAGCTCTTCATTCGTTGGGGTTCTTTCTGATGATCGTCGACGTTTCTCTCGTTCATTTTGTTTGCGGATTTGTCGCTCTAGATTTCGAATCGACTTTTCCTGTGCTTCATACAACTCCTCCTCACTTTGAGCGTGGAGTTCTGCGAACTTTTCCTCGTGTTGAGGCGAATCGTCTTCGTCCTCGGGCACACTGTCCCACTCGGAGGCATAGTCGTCAGAGTCGTAGAGGTGGGCGCGTTTCTTCTCCTCCAGGTGTCGGCGATAGTTCTCGTAAGCTTCTGCTTCTTCCCTCATCCTCTCCTCCTCCTGCCTCTTCATCTCCTCTAGACGCAACTGCTCCTCCGCCTCTTCTTCACTCTTCTTCAGGTCCTTCATCCGCTGATCTTCTCGTCTCTTCTCTTCCTCCACATACTCTCGTTCTTCGGATTTTCGCATTCCTTCACTACGCTGTTCTGCTAGTAGCTTCTTCTGCTCTTCCGCCTGTCTTAGTTGTTCGTATAACTTCTTCTCCTCCTCTGCTTTCCTCTGCTCCGCTAAATGTCTTTCCTCCTTTCGTTTTTCTTCTTCCACTTTCATCTCTTCTTTTCGTTTCTTTTCTTCCATCCTCCTTTCCACCTCCTCTCTTCTCTTCTCGTCCTCTTTTCTCTTCCTTTCTTCTTCCTTTCGCCTCTTCTCTTCTTCCTTTTTCTTCTTCTCTTCCTCTTTTTTCTCTTCTTCCTTCCGTTTTTCTTCTCGTTTCTTTTCTTCTGCTACCCTTCTCTCTTCTACTATCCTCTTCTCTTCTGCTATCCTCTTCTCTTCTGCTATCCTCTTCTCTTCTGCTATCCTCCTCTCTTCCACTATCCTCCTCTCTTCTGCTATCCTCGTCTCTTCCGCTATCCTCCTCTCTTCCACTATCCTCCTCTCTTCCACTATCCTCCTCTCTTCTGCTATCCTCCTCTCTTCCACTATCCTCCTCTCTTCTGCTATCCTCCTCTCTTCCGCTATCCTCCTCTCTTCCGCTATCCTCCTCTCTTCTGCTATCCTCTCTTCCACTATCCTCTTCTCTTCCGCTAGCCTCCTCTCTTCCGCTATCCTCTTCTCTTCTGCTATCCTCCTCTCTTCTGCAATCCTCTTCTCTTTCTCCCTCCTCCTCTCTTCCTCTTTCCTCCTCTCCTCTTCTTTCCTTTTCTCTTCCTCCAATCGATTTTGTTCCTCCATCCACCTCTGTTCTTCCATTCGTCTCTCCCCTTCTCTTCGTCTCGCTTCCTCCAACTGCCGTTTCAATTCTTCTGCTTTTTGTTGTTCTTCCTTCATTTGTTCCTCCTTTCTTTTCTCCTCTGCTAATTTTTGTCTCTCGTCTTCTATTCGTTTTTGTTCTTCCCTTTGCCTCCTCTCTTCCTGTTCCCTCTTCTTGGTTTCTTCCTTTTTCTTCGTCTCCTCTTTTCGTTTCATCTCCTCTTGTATTCTCTGCTGGTCCTTCTTAAATTGTTCCTGTAGCTTCTTCTTCTCTTCTTGCTTGCGTTTCTCCTCTACTCTCTTCTTCTCCTGCATGGCAATCTGTTCGTATTGTTTCCTCTGTTCTTGGCTAAACATCATCATCCTCTCCTCATCTCGTTTCTTTTGGTCTTCTATTTTCTTCCTCGCCTCTTGCTTCTTCCTCTCTGCCGCAATCAATTCTTTGTCCTTTTTCTTCTGTTCAGCCAGGAGCTTCTTCGAGTCCTCCATACATCTCGCTCCGTCCTCCCCACTCGTGTCCATCGTCGCCTCACTCTTCGCGCCTTCCCTCTGGTATTTGGCGCCATCCGAGCGTCTCTTCTCGGCCGTGGTGATCTGTTCCTTAAGTCTCCGTTCTTCTGATCTGAGATGCCGTTCCTCCTTTGCGCTCTTGTTCCGGACGTCGTCAGTGGACTGGCTTTCGTATTTCTTGATAGCTCCTTTTTTTCTCTTCTCCTCCAACTTTCTCTCTTGCATCCTTCTGATCTGATCGTCTCGGATTCTGTTCTGTTCTCGGAGTTTCTCTTCATCTTCTTTCCGCTTTATTGGCATGTCGTCCCTCTTTAAAGTTGAAGATCCCTTCTCCTTCTTAGGAGTAGGCGATGCTTCTTTCTTTATCATTGGGGACGTTTCCCTCTTGATGGACGGCGAACGCTCTTTAGTCAGGACTGTTTGTGCTTGGGTTACTGGTGAAGACTGCTGCTGGATTATGGAAGACGACTCTTCTTTAGCATATGACGAAGACTGCCCGCTCATAACTGATGAATTTTTCTCCCTGACAACTGTTGAGGACTGCTCTGCTTTGCTTAATGCTGTGGCACCTCCTTGAAATAACCCCGACGATGAAAAATGCTGCTTAACAACTGTTGCTGACTGCTCTGCCTTAATTACTGCCGACGCACTTCCTTGAATGAACCCTGGCGGTGAATATTGCTCCTTAACAATTGCTGCCGACTGCTCCGCTTTGGTCAATGACGACGCACCTCCTTGAACAACTGCTGGTAATTCCTTACGACTCGTCGGCGACTGTGGGTTAGGGGTTGACTCTCTCCTCTTGGCGATCATCATCAGTTCCTCCAGTCGTAGCTTCTCCAGGATCAACTGTTGTAGTTGTTTTCGTTTTTGCTCCTCTGTCAACAACTGAGGGTCCTGGATCTCCATGGGTGGTTCTTTTACTTTCTTTGGTAAATATGACTTTGGTGCCGTGGGTACTTGAGACGTGGATTGAGAGCACTGGACGGTTTGTTGTGATGTTTGTGTCTCGTGATACGTCTGTTGGAAGGTCTGGAAGGACGACTGACTCATGGACTGCATCTGAGGACTGTGCTGAGATTGTAACAGCTGAAGCTTCGCCGACAGCTGTTGGGAATTCAGAGAAGGCTGCAGGGGCTGTTGCGGTTGCTGTTGAAGCTCCTGTTGAGGCTCCTGTTGAGACAACTGTTGGAGCTGTGTGGGTGAAAACATGTGCGGTGGAGAAAACACCTGTTGTGGTGTAGAGTACGACGACGTCGAAAAACTTGGAAGAGGAGACGAGAACGTCTCTGTCGGCGATGAGAACTGTGGGGGAGTGGCGTACTGGGTGGACGGGGAAGACATCTGATGCATCACATCCTGACTAAAGTGTGGCGGAGACGAATAATGTTTAACAGGGGGGGACTGTGGCAAGTTGAGTGGGGAGGAGAATCTGTTTGGCGACGATTGCATTTGTCTGAGAGGGGAGGGAAAACGCTGCGGTAAGGAGGAGACTCCTTGTGGGGACTGAGTTTGCTGTTGCGGGGACTGAGAGACCGAAGGAGAAGTTGCAGACAGGGCCTTACGCTGGAGTTCCTTCTGACGCCTCCGTTCTAGCTCCAACTGTCGTTCCTCAACCACCTGTTGCTCGAGTTTCTCCTGATGGGATAAGTTCTCCGCCACCAGGTGCCTGAAGGAGGTGAGGTCATCAATGGTTACTTCTGGGCGTTAACTCGCCACCAGATGAGAACAAGACCTACTTCAACAAGCAAAACTCGTAATGTGAGCCTTAAGTTTACATTCTTAGTATTAAAATGATGATCTGATGCTGAACATGAGTCACCAGGAGAATAAGCATGAGAGCTTTTCCAAATATATGTAATTTTTTTTTCTGAAATCGGTTATTTTGCAAAATGACCGACAAGCAAGTTAATAATATTGCAAAATATCTTGCAAACAGGCCAACCTAACCTAACCTAACCTTATGGTTGAATAGGGTTAAGTTAAGTTTGATTAATTTAAAAATTAGAACAGGTAATGTTTGGACAGCACATAGTGCCAAGTGAGCAGGATAACGAAACTGTCTATTGTGCTACACGAGCCAACCTATACTAACACTATTAAAACATAAGGTTAGGTTAGGTTAGGTTAGGTTGGTCTGTTTGCAAGTTATTTCGTAAAATTACCGACGTACTTGGTGGTCATTTAGCAAAAAAAAAAACTACGATATATAAAAGAAAAGACATTATCTAAAACATTGTTAATAAGAAAACCTATTACAGTTTACTGTATACTAAATCAAGAAGAACATCTTCAAAACATGACCAATTAAACATAAACTCCAACTGTTAATTATGTATTAATTAAATCCACAAAAGTATATCTATAAAGTATATATTTATCATCTCCATCTTTATTTAAGTTACCGTAAGTCATCTGGGTTGTTCTTTATCTCTGAATGAGGAGCAACACACACACACACACACACACACACACACACATCATCCTTGACCACCGAAGGGTCAGACGCACCTGGCGCTGCTCAGCAGCAGCCACGTCAACTGCTATGTTGGCCCATACCAACTCCCTCCCCTGAACCCTCCTCCCCACCGGAATATCAACAAGTTCTCGCCAGAAGTTATTATTTCATTTGGGAAAGGAATGGAACCAGTGTTGAATAGTGGTGATCAGTGCTTAAGTCACTGAAAAACAACTCGGCAGTTGAGTCTTACCTAAGCTAACCTTCACACAGTGAGGTCCCAGGTACCCAGTGATAATTCCCCTGAGACTCCACCATAGAGGCCTGGGACCACACCTCACCCACTTGAGTGAGTGAAGTCCTGTGACAATAGACCTCGTGGTGTCCCCATGATGCTACGACACCACTTAGTGAATGAGTTGCTACAGCATCATGTGAAGTTCCTCATAACACCATCTGTGAGGGAATTACTACACCACGTGATGCCCCTCATAACACCATCTGTGAGGGAATTACTACACCATGTGATGCCCCTCATAACACCATCTGTGAGGGAATTACTACACCACATCAGGCCCCTCATACACTATCTGTGAGGGAATTACTACACAACATCAAGCCCCTCATACACCATCTGTGAGGGAATTACTACACCACATCAGGCCCCTCATAACACCATATGTGAGGGAATTACTACATCATCAGGCCCCTCATACACCATCTGTGAGGTAACTACTCCATCAGGCCCCTCGTAACACCATCTGTGAGGGAATTACTACACCACGTGAGGTCCCTCATAACACCATCTGTGAGGGAATTACTACACTACGTGAGGACCCTCATAACACCATCTGTGAGGGAGTAACTACACCACGTGAGGTCCCTCATAACACCATCTGTGAAGGAACACCATCTGTGACTACACCATGTCCCTCATAACACCATCTGTGAGGTCCCTCATAACACCATCTGTGAGGGAATTGACTGTGAAGGAATTACTACACCATGTGAGGTCCCTCATAACACCATCTGTGAGGGAATTACTGCACCACGTGAGGTCTCTCATAACACCATCTGTGAGGGAACTAATGCACCACGTGAGGTCCCTCCTAACACCATCTGGGAGGGCGTTACTACACTACGTGTTTGCTGTTCAACACCTACATTAATCTGTATGTTCACTGTATGTTCCTTTACCTTTCTCTAATGAAGGCTTTTGTTAAACCACCAATGTATGTAACAAGTAATTTATGTCCAATGTATATTTTCAGCCTTCGGGCTGCAGAACTTTTTCAATAAAAAGCTAATTATTATTATTTATTACTACACACACACACACACCACTAACCACAGACATACACACCACTACCCACACAAACACATCCAATCCCCACACCACAAACCACCCACCCACATTACAACCCACACACCCACACCACAACCACACATCCAATCCCCACACCACAAACCACCCACCCACATTACAACCCACACACCCACACCACAACCACACACCCACACATCCACACCACAACCCAGACATCCACACCAAAACCTACAAACCCACACAACACTACAACCCACACACCCACACCAAAACACCACACCACAACCTACATCATAACCCACATACCCACACCACAACCCACACACCCACACCGCAACCCCGTGGGTAGTGGTAGTTACTCTCGACAGGAGCTGCCATGCACAGGCCAACCGGCCTATTGCAGACTCCTTATTTTCTTATGTTCTTATGTAACCTACATCATAACCCACATACCCACACCACACTCCACACGTCAACAACATTATAACCCACACCCCCACACCAAAACACCACAGCCTACATCATAACCCACACACCCACACCAAAACATCACACCATAATCCACACACCCACACCGCAACCCCCACACCACAACCCACACACCCACAACGCAACCCCCACACCACAACCCACACACCCACAACGCAACCCCTACACCACAACCCATACACCTACAACCTACATCATAACCCACAACACCAGAGGCAGCTCATATAACGTACTGTGAGTCGTCGACCTTCCTGATGGTAAGCTCCACGCGGTTGCCGGCTGCCTTGACCAGATCGTAGGCATCAAAGTGACAGAGAGATCGAGCGTCGTGGCCCTCGATCATGACCAGCGTGTCCCCGACAGTGAGGTGCTGCGCCGCTAGCGTCCCCGGCGTTACCTGAAGTACCAACAGTGTTATTAGTACACCTGACTGATTTATTGGGGCGTTCAGGTTAAAGTTGACCCGAAAATGTAAATAATTTGACCCAAGACATTGAAATAATTTGGCACAAATCACTGAAGAATTTGACACAAAACACTGAAGAATTTTACACAAAACACTGAAGAATGACACAAAACACTGAGGAAGAATGACACAAAACACTGGAAAATATATATATATATATATATATATATATATATATATATATATATATATATATATATATATATATATATATATATATATATATATATATATATATATATATATATATATATATATATATATATATATATATATACAGGGTAACTCAAAGCAAAACTTCACACCTTAAACGTAGCTTATTAAAGGAAGAGTGTAAATGTAAACAAATAACTGAAAGCAATTTGGAGGCAAGAATTAGCCAAACAACTTTTCCATTGCTCTAAGCTGGATATTTTTGGCGCAATCCTCCTAAAACATGTGTGGGAGGGATGTACGGAAGTGAGCGACGAACAGACAGATAGATATCAATATACCCCTCACCTGTTTACCCAGTAGTGAAATACAGTATACACCAAAACACCCGGATGGTAAAGCCTGGCAACTCCGGCCCGCAGAGTTGTGACGACCTAGATAACTGTCCACCCCACCAACACAAGTCAGTGGAGGACACATCCTTCAATGACAGCTTTATCAAGGCAATAATTAGCATGACATGTATCAGTCAACATCGTCTTGTCATGTTCGTGTGATACTTGAATACTACGTCAGGAGGCCAAGGTTCCGGCCATAATATGTTTCATTGCAGAAAGTGTCACGTTCACTTCAGACTTGCATACGCCAGCATCAATGAGGCCTCTGACACCCTGTCTGACCTGATGACAAGAGACTACTACCATATGGCATCAGACGATGAGTCATGCCGTGTCAAACCTGAGAGGGAAACAGTTTCAAATCAGATAATTTGTACTTTTACTTCAGTAGTTTTAAAGCTTACTTCGTACATTAACAGTACTGGCAACAGTACTGTACGTAATATGTTCAATTACTTCTTCCCATCATTAATGTCATATTATTTCCAGTCCTGATTTCTGTTTGACGAGAAACGGCATCATAATAGAGCAATGTGATTGGTTAGAGGGGCCTCCATATGGTCAAGAAGAGGGTACTGCACGTCAAGCATTGGTCCATCTCATAAAATAGTACTCTTTGATGTCTCTTATCAACAAATATATCTTTTTAATAAAAATACTGTACATTTCTTCAATAATAGATGTTACCTTGTACGGTTTTTTTCTCCCTTATAAAAGTCATTTACCATCTTTTATTCACTTGGTATTAAAACATCCCCCACAGGGCAACACAACCACAAACATAATAAAATTGGAGTAAGAGAGATTATTAAAAAATACGCAAGTGATATAGGTATTTGTTTTTATTATACAACCTAAAGAAAACACAATATCAGATATAAAGTATTAAACAAATGAATACATGAACACATTGTGTGTGTTTGGTAATGGTGCTCCATCTGGCTGGTGCTCTGTTCTGGGAATGGTGATTTGTGACAGTAGAGTTCCTTAACTCTACCGTATGTTCAATCGCTGCAGAAACTGTGTGACTACCTGCCGGCCTGAGAAGACGGACATACAATCACTGGAGTCTTTCTTGCATAAACTGTTCCAACACCCCCTCGGCCTCCACCATCGCCAACAAGGCAGACATCTCGAGAGACGAATATTCATTTGCCATCATCGTTGCCGTGATCCTATTCGCCATCTCCTGAAACAGATCGTGCGCGATGGACGGTGGATCAAGGACAAGAACGGTGAGTGTATTGTTCTTGGCTTGCATAGTGTTGTTTTCGGGTGGTGGTGCACCACAAACAAGCCCGACCAGGGCGAGCACAAGGAAGCAGGTTAATAGCAAGGTGATCGTCGATGCCATACTGCTGTAGGTGGTGAAGGTCCTCTCACAAATTATATGACTTGCCCTGCTATATATACGCCTTTACCTCTTGGGGGTCATTGCTGGATGACATTAAATCACGTGACCAACTGGTGTGGGGAGGGGCAGGTCATGTCATTATGTATAATTACCTGCCCAGAGTGACCACCTGATCGTCTGATCCGACCCACTGATGCAGGTTTTCATGTATATTCGTTTGTGTTTTATTTTATGTGGTGATGTAAAGAAGTGCGGCCAAGGGAATATTTCTTCTAGCACATAACGATAGCAGGACTCTCCCTGTACCTACACCCTGCAGCTTCCCAAACGAATGGTAATCAGATCTTTAACACGTGACACTAAAGTTTCTCCTACGCGGTACTGGGCAACGTCGCATTATAGTGCAGTTCAAGGGTTGCCAATCACTTTACGTGTCTCTATTATTACATAAACCTCCACTTAAAACTAAATATATAACGTTCATGTACTGTCCAGTTTATAAATATATAAATATATATATATATATATATATATATATATATATATATATATATATATATATATATATATATATATATATCTTGATAAAATCACACGGGAAAAGGGAAACAACATAGCACCTTAGCTTTCGTCTCTATTCATGACATCTTCAGAGGCAACTGGATTACATTTATCTTATAAGAACATAAGAACATAAGAAAATAACCTATTGTTTCCAATAGGTTATATTGTTTTGAATATTGTATTTCTCTTCGACTCTTTGTTGTGAAATTATATCATATCGATAGAAATTCTGTCCCAAGAACTTGTGTACAGTATTTACAGAGATTTGAACGAAACTTGAAGTGGGACTGTGTGTGTGTGTGGGTAAGGCTGATCTACCTGCACATCCCATGGGAAAATTAACATGATGGATTGACATAATTACACTCTGACCCGGTTGCCAAGACCCGTCCCAGACACACCTACATTATTATTTTAAATACCTAATAATCTTTTTCCTTGTGGCGACTTAATATTATAGAAGACCAGCATGAATTTCGAGGCTTTGAAAATGGTTACTAATACGGCATTTGTTGTCACTATCACAATTTATTCCTTTCTACACATCTACAAATAATTGTGTTACTATAACGTGCGGTCTAGAGATGTCTTTTGTCTAACCTAACCTAAATATCTTGTAGACCACACGCTATAACAGCACCAAATAATTTATCAATAAAATTCTATCACGAAAGTTTGTACATGCGCTAACATAGTTATCCATTTATCATTTCCACACAGTGACTAATTATCAAGAGGAAAGTTTGACCCCTAACCTAACCGAGCCTAACCTAGCTTAACTTAACTTAACCTAACCTAGCCTAACCTAACTTAACCTAACCTAGCCTAACCTAACTTAACCTAACCTAGCCTAGCCTAGCCTAGCCTAGCCTAGCCTTCGGGAATTCTGTTATAGTTATAAAGAAGTATACAAGGAATGTTTATTAAATCTGCAATGACGTATGTTTTGTCTACTGGGGTATTACTCCCCTGACATTCAGTGACCTCACTGGGCCCTAGGGTCACCTCAGTAAATACAGAATGAACATGAAGGTAAAATATTTCGTCTTTTTTCTTTTCTATTTATTTAATAATGTTCTATATCAAAATTGAAAGAGTTATAATACTCTAATTGGATCACCTGAAGAAATGTCACCCCAGAGTTTGGCAGGGTGACAATTGTTCAGGTGGCAACACCTGGGATGACAATTCTTCAGGTGGGGTCGCATTTCTGATTTAAGTTTGGTCAGGTTGTTTTAAGGTTGTGTGACTTTCCTTGGTGACGGATGGAACCCTTCCCTAATTTTTTTTTAAATTAAGAATGTTTTCATTTTCTTTAGATTTGGAAGCTTTTTTTCTTTTTTGAGTGCGAGCCATTTTTTTTAATCTTTGATTTTGTTTAATTTATTGTATTTTGGAACACGGTGTATATTATTTTTTTCTTTAAACTTTTCACAATAAAGATGCATAACACAAAGGAATATATTTATGTTATCCTAATTACACAAATTATATTCACTGTGGGCTGGGGTGACGATTCTTCAGGTGGAGCAGGCTGGGATGACAATTCTTCAGGTGGGATATTCTGGGGTGACGATTCTTCAGGTGGACATTCTGGGGTGACGAATCTTCAGGTGATCCTTCTAATTATTTAAACTTGTAATAATTTCATATTTAAATCTATATATTTTTTATATTTCTAATGACCGTCTCTTTAACATAAAAACAGGGGGCTTCTGTCCTATTTTGCACTTTTACTGAGGGGCTTTTGTCCTAGGGGTCTTTTGTCCGGGCCCCACTTTACATTTGTCCACATAACATTTCATCTGCCATTTTTCAGACCATGCGAATAATTTGTTAGGCCGCACCTCGATTATGCGGTTCAGTTCTGGTGCCCCTATTATAGAATGGATATAAATTCACTAGAGTCGGTGCAGCGAAGAATGACAAAAATGATTCAGGGACTTAGAAACCTTCCATATCAGGATAGGTTAAAGAAACTTAACTTGCATTCCCTAGAAAGACGAAGAGTGCGGGGAGATATAATAGAAGTATTTAAGTGGGTGAAAGGAATCAATAAAGGGGATATAGATAAAGTTCTTATAATATCCGAGCAGGATAGGACTCGGAGCAACGGATTCAAGTTGGATAAATTTAGGTTTAGGAGGGAGATAGGAAGAAACTGGTTCACAAATAGGGTGGTGGACGAGTGGAACAAGCTTAGCAACTTTGTAGTAAGTGCGGGAACTCTGGAAAGTTTCAAAAGGAGGCTAGATAGATTCATGGATGATAGAGAGTGGTAGTAACTCTCGACAGGAGCTGCCATGCACAGGCCAACCGGCCTATTGCAGACTCCTTATTTTCTTATGTTCTTATATAGCCGAACCCACCTTGGGGAATAATATACTAGATTTAGTTCTGTCAAACAACCTCATTGATAATATCAATGTAAGGAGTGAACTAGAGTACTCAGTATAGATGTA